ATTCAGGTGTGGTGCAGCAGCAGCACATCTAAATGTTGCAGGACAGTGGCCCTCCAGGACTGGAGTTTGACACCTGCAGCGTAGATAAAGCACAGCCACTCCCCCATTTTGCAGTCTACAGCCAAAAACTTAAAGAAAAGGACCCCGCAGCTAAATAATGGCCTCCAGATTTTCCTGACAGTTTTAGCTCGTGCTACCTGCTTGGCTAGCTTTAGCTGCTAACAAAATAATAAGCAGTTGTATATACTGTGATATCCAAACAAATAAACGTACATTAAGCGAACTATGTATATGAATAGATACTCTTCTGCAAATGGAAAATTAATGCATCCATAAAAAATAGTCAAAAACATTATCATTTTAACATGGAACTTACCTTGTTATGATCCAGACAAGAAGCCATATTGCTGCCTCTGCTCCGGGCCAGACACGTGACGTCACAGATACGTTGCAATTATGGGAGGAGCTGTCTGGTGTTGATTTCTAATCAACAAAAGACCGAATTGCTTTTATTTAACTCTCTGGAATAACACCAACTCTTTAGGGAAACTAACACTCATGTTGTTGAATTAACACTGTATTTTAACATACAACACCAACACTGAAAATCTAACACTTTTGAATTTGCTGTGTACCCCATAGCAACCACAGAGTTGTGTAAAGTAGAGAGGAAGTACAGACGGTCTGTAATATTTTTGTCCAAATAAAAGTCTGAAAGGTTTTTCTCCTCAGAGATACAGAGTGTGGATGAACATCATCTGGCTGCAATGATGCAAAGAGTGAGTAAAAATTTTTCTAACATTACACAGCACTTTGAGCAAGGAACTGTTAAAGATCTTGTAAATCTTTAGGCAGCGACCATCACATCAGACAAGGAGATGCTTTTAAACCTGATGAAAGACCTAAAACAAGAGGAGCTGAAAGGCTTCAAATGGTTCCTGAAGAACAGGGATGTGAGCTCAGGCTTCCCACAGATCCCAGTGACTCTCCTGGATGAGGCCGATGCCTCAGACCTGGTGGACCTGATGATGAAGACCTACAGCCACAGGGCTGTGGAGCTCACCAAGGACATTTTTAAGCAAATTAACAGGAATGATCTGGTGGAGATGTTTCCAGGCACCAGCTGTACAAGGAAGTGTAAGAACTTCTGAATTTAATTTAAATAACTGGTTTCCATATGCTGACCCCAGATTAGTTCAATATAATGAGAAATGTTAGCTGCAGGTTTGTATTAAGGAGATGAGATGAGCCACTTTAGCTCTTTGGTCAGAACTAATCATTCCTACGATGTCGGAACAGAATTCTTTGCAGAAAGACTCCAGGCCAGGAATCGAACCCAGGACCTTCTTGCTGCAACAGTGCTACCACTGAGCAGCCATACTTTAACTAACACAGTTCCGACTAGATTCAGATTCAGTGCCGACTAGATTCAGTTCAGACTCAGTTCAGACTCGGTTCCGACTCGATTCAGTTCAGACTCAGTTCAGATTCAGTTCAGATTCAGTTCATACTCAGTTCAGATTCAGTTCAGACTCAGTTCAGACTCAGTTCAGACTCGGTTCAGATTCAGTTCCGACTCGATTCAGTTCAGATTCAGTTCAGACTCAGTTCAGACTCAGTTCAGACTCAGTTCAGATTCAGTTCCGAGTAGATTCAGTTCAGATTCAGTTCAGATTCAGTTCAGATTCAGTTCATACTCAGTTCAGATTCAGTTCAGACTCAGTTCAGATTCAGTTCAGACTCAGTTCAGATTCAGTTCATACTCAGTTCAGATACAGTTCAGACTCTGTTCAGACTCAGTT